AGTGCTTTCTAAAGACTTGTGAGATTACATAACAGGAGGCAGAGAATTGAACAACTGACAAGTGATATCTTGAACTTTCAAGAACAAAATAACAGCAACAGAACAAATAACTTGCAATCTTCACCACGCTGAAGCTATCAACAGAAGACAGAAAGGAACACAAGATGGTAGAAGAGGAAGAAGAAGAAGGCAGAAGATGGAACAGAAGAACAAAACACCATCTTGAGGTTATCTTGAGATGATTTCGGGGCTTTAGTGTCCCCGCGGCCCGGTCCTCGACCAGGCCTCCACCCCCAGGAAGCAGCCCGTGACAGCTGACTAACACCCAGGTACCTATTTTACTGCTAGGTAACAGGGGCATAGGGTGAAAGAAACTCTGCCCATTGTTTCTCGCCGGCGCCTGGGATCGAACCCAGGACCGCAGGATCACAAGTCCCGCGTGCTGTCCGCTCGGCCGACCGGCTCCCTGCCGCGACCGGCGATCACGCACCATCACGCGGCGATCATCTGAAAATGTTAGATAATTACTTTTTTATTATTATTATTATTTTCTACCACAGACGTGGCCGGGCATTTACAATGCTAACCAGCATATATACATTTTCTTCTGTCCTCCATGGACAGGGTTAGAGATGTGTTAAACACATAGTTCAAGGGTTTATTAAACAGTCAACGAAAATGACGTTTCAGTCCGTCTTGGACTATTACAGAATCTTGTTGATGATGGCTCGAGACTGTCCAAAACTTGAACAAATCCACAAGTGCCGTGAATAGGATTCGAACCTACGTCCGAGATCATCCCAGACGCTGTCTTAATCGACTGAGCTAACTTTTTGTAGATTTGAGGTGTGGTGAAGAGGGGGGAGGCTTAGAGGTTTGTAGGGGGTAAGTGGGATAGGAGTGAGGTGTAGGGAAGGGGTAGGGGTCATCATGGGAGATGTGGGTAGGGGTGTATTAGGGGTTCTGGGGGGAGGAGGAGTACTGATCACTACCGGAACTGACCACTAGTCTTGCCTACCTGATTGTGAATTCCGCCAGCCTACCTGGCTGGTTGAAGAGGGGGTGGTGGGGTGGGGGGTTGGCTGGCTGGCTGGCTGGCTGGCTGACTGGCTGCTTGACCTACTGGTTACTTGATCACAGAGCGCTGGGACCCGCTGACCATCACAAACAAAAGATATACTCAGCCAAAAGATGACCTTAATCCTGTCTTAGAATTACGTAGCAGCATTAACTGTCTGCTGTTGTGTTAAGAATCTGCGAGCAGGAACTGGGTGGTGACCTCACGCACTTCATTATTGACTGTCCAGTCACTGGATCTCCTTCAGACCGGCCGACATGAGGTACCTGGAACAATCACTTTACTACCTCTCGTGTCTTCAAGGATATCTTGAAGTATATGAGTGGGATTGGGTGGTTATAAATAGGAGCTGCCTCGTATGGGCCAATAGGCCTTCTGCAGTTGCCTTTGTTCTTATGTTCTTATCATAATGATACATGCAAATTTTGCCAGTGCAGGCTACTCGCGTGGCCCTGTATGACTAAACCTCTTATGTGATGGGTATTTTATTGTTTATCTCTCTTGACACACACTATGTAACCCTTTTATATAGTCTAGGGCAGCTGTATAATTGTCCAGGTACCAAGTACAGGGAATTAGATCATCGGTACAACTTCGTTCCAATAGGGTCTGAGACCCTAGGCCCATGGGGTGAGAGTGCAAGAAGGTTTCTTAAGGATCTTGGTTCCAAGCTCATTGACACCACAAGAGACCCTAGAGCGGCAAGTTTTCTCTTTCAGCGCCTCAGTGTCGCGATCCAGAGGGGGAATGCTCGCTGCATCCTCGGTTCCTGCCCGGCGTCCGAGGAGTTCGAGGAAATCTCTAGGAAACAAACTTCTCCTTATTTCCTCTTAATGTCCTCTTTTTGTAGCCAATCAGATATGTAACTGTGGTGTAACCTTGTATAATGAAGTGAACAACATAAATAATGAAAAAGGAATGGTAAGAGAAGTGAACACTCACATGTATATAAAGTTAAAGGCAAGTTTTTCTCTGAATGCTCTGCGTTCCCTTCTCCGAGGCTATGGGTCCCTACAATTGCAGCAGAGGTGGTACCTCTCTCTCTCTCTCTCTCTCTCTCTCTCTCTCTCTCTCTCTCTCTCTCTCTCTCTCTCTCTCTCTCTCTCTCTCTCTCTCTCTCTCTCTCTCTCTCTCTGATATATATATATATAATTAATTATATATATATATATATATATATATATATATATATATATATATATATATATATATATAATTACATACTGCTACATAATTCTTTATTTTTTTGGCATTTGGTTTTCAAAAATATATTTGATATATAAAATCGTTTATACAGGTCGGAATTAGCATGGATCCAGAGGCAGAAATGGACGCTTTAAGTATGGCAACACTTCTCCAATGGACAGCTGCTCACCCCCCCCCCCCCATTACCCTCCCCCCCATTACCCATTACCCCCCTACCCATCACCCATCCATGAAAATCACTCCTACCCATCTCCCCCACTAACCTATCTCTGATCTCCTAATACTGATAACCCGCCCCATACATTTCCGCCCCTCATAACTCCATATACCATCACCCCTAAACACCTTCCCCCCCCCCTTATTTACCCAACCCATTAACCCTGTCCCCCGAGCCCCATTTTCCCCTCATTCCTTGTTCCCACATCCTTCCATCACTTCTCAACCCCATTTCCTAACCCTTATTGCGGTCCCTCCACCCCTTACTCCATAACCCCCCCCCATCCCCCCGAACACAAACAACCTCTCTTCCCCCCAATTCCTTCGACCCATTCCCCATTTCCCCCCCCCCACACTTCCGGCCACCATGAACTTTGTACTTTGGTGTACTTTGTGACATGCAAAAGATAGTACACTACAGCCCCCCAAGGAAGAGACCATGTAGTACAATATATATACATAGGGATACATATAGGGATATACATAGGGATACATATAGGGATATACATAGGGATACATATAGGGATATACATAGGGATATATAAGGATACAAATGGATATATTCCCAGCTAACACTAGTCCCAGCTTGATGTATACATATATGTACATGCGTCAGAACATGTATGATATGCGCATATATATAACGTGTACTGGAGTATACATGGAGGAAACTTCGAGTATACCTGGAGGAAACCTAGAGTATACATGGAGGAAACCTAGAGTATACATGGAGGAAACCTAGAGTATACATGGAGGAAACCTAGAGTATACCTGGAGGAAACCTAGAGTATACATGGAGGATGCCTCGAGTATACATGGAGAAATCACTAAACCAATGTGACTATATAACACATGGAAGGGCTTGGAGGACAGGATAGGAGACCGGATAGGACGACGGATAGGAAGGAAAAGTGCCCAACCACTTGGGCACCATCGGGGATCGAACCCTGACCTTGCAAGGAGCGAGGTGGTCGCTGTACCCACCAGTGCAAGTAGCTGACTGAACCTATATTTCGTAGATCAGAATTCATACAATAACCACAGCTATGATTTATGCATAATATGTTATTATATATATATATATATATATATATATATATATATATATATATATATATATATATATATATATATATATATATATGTGTGTGTGTATATATCACGAAAATAAACACGTGATTAAGAATGTGACAATGTCAGACCACGGAGGAAAATGAAACAGGAATTTCCTTAAGTACTTTCGTATATTAAATACATCTTCAGAAGGAATCTTCATCTTCATCTTCATATAAATATATATATATATATATATATAATATATATATATATATATATATATATATATATATATATATATATATATATATATATATATATATATATATATATATATATATGCGGAAAATCCACAGAGAAATATGAAATGAGGTGAACGTTTCGGCTCTGTTAAAGCCTTTGTCAACACCAGACTGACTAAAGTCAGTCTGAGTCAGTCTGGTGTTGACAAAGGCTTTAACAGAGCCGAAACGTTCACCTCATTTCATATTTCTCTGTGGATTTTCCGCATAAAATGATCAGTGTTTTGTGATCGTCAATTGCATATATATATATATATATATATATATATATATATATATATATATATATATATATATATATATATATATATATATATATATATATATAATTGAAATTGGTATTATTATTATTTTTTTATTACATATATTAAGTGAGGCTAGAGTGGTTTCCATGGCGACATCTCGAGTCAGACTTCATAAACATCTAATTCCTACCTACCAATTATGTCTGCGTTTAATTACAGAGTCAAAACAAATTATGGCGACTAATACACCGGCAATCGGGATTCAGATTATAGTATTCTTTTTATTAGTTGAAGTTCGAAACTTTATTACTAGCTTATTAGAGCGTTTTAGGTATTTGGTTGTGGAGGGAGTTGTGGCGGGTTGGGCTTTAGCTCTTTGGTCCTGCCTCTCTGGTTCCAGGCCTGTGTGTGTGTGTGTGTGTGTGTGTGTGTGTGGGGCTCCAAAGGTGCTTGCCAAGGTCTACGCTTTTTAATTAGCCGTGTCTGCTACTTATGGGGCTCAGTTAAACACACACATTGTGATGGCTTTGGTGGAAATGTTTGGATAAAGTGTTAAAGATCGTAAGGATATGATAAGTGTAATGCTGCGGCAATGTTGCTTGCGATAAAAGGCTCATATGGCAACTTTATCCTATGCTGCCTCGGGCGCTATGGCTGCCAGCGTTTTCTTTATTCCCGATTACAAATATATTTTCCTTCCGTAAATACGCTCTAATACAACGATAATTGTTGACGTAAATACTAAACGAGCATAATAACAATGAATGCCACACCGCACGTCATTAGAATGTCTTAAACGTTAGCAAAAATGATCATATAAACCGATAATCCTAAATTTGGAAACCGTTAGCATCTGAGCATGAAAATGGCCCGAGATGCCGCCCACCAGTTAGTCCTGGCTTGGCCTTCGTGGTGAGCACATTCTCGCGTCCGCTTCCCGCGTGTGACCGCTTGGGACCCTCCACTTTGCCTTCCTTCCGCGCGGTGCCTTAGTGAAAGCCGGCCGCGAGTGCGGGGGAAAAAAGGCCGAGTTTTTAGGGAAATTTGAGCATGGATACGACGGTGTGGATCCTGGCGGCGCTGACGGCGGCCGCGGTGTCGTGTTCTGCAGTAGACTTGCAGTCAGCCTTTAAGATGGCTCAGTGTAGAGCCTATTGCTTAGACCAGGTGAGTGTGGTGTTTGGTAGGCCTATTGCCTCAAGCAGGTGGTGTGGGAGGCCTACCACCTCGACCAGGGGAGTGAGGTAGGCCTACCACCTCGACCAGGGGAGTGAGGTAGGCCTACCACCTCGACCAGGTGAGAGGTAGGCCTACCACCTCGACCAGGTTAGTGAGGTAGGCCTACCACCTCGACCAGGTTAGTGAGGTAGGCCTACCACCTCGACCAGGTTAGTGAGGTAGGCCTACCACCTCGACCAGGTTAGTGAGGTAGGCCTACCACCTCGACCAGGGGAGTGAGGGAGGCCTACCACCTCGACCAGGCGAATGAGGTAGGCCTACCACCTCGACCAGGGGAGTGAGGTAGGCCTACCACCTCGACCAGGTTAGTGAGGTGGCGCAAAGTGATCAATTTTAATCACCATTTGAATGAGTAAAATGGTAAATATATTTTTCTCGATAGGCCTATGGACTACCTGGCAGATGCTATCATATTTACAACATTTATATCCCTTCTATTTTGGCCGTATTATCATAATTCTCAAGTTTGGCGTATAGGCCTCAGTCGCTTAAGTTCAAAGTTCGGCTTTCCGGCGTAGGTTCAATTTTCATTGAACGCTTGCAAGAATGTAGCGCAATGGTCTACATCCTGGATTTACAACCGATGGATCAGGGATAAATTTCCAGACGGGGCAGAAACAGTTGGTACCTTTCCGTTCACCTAGTGCAGCTGTTCACCTAGTTGTTAATTAACTTGTGGGTCCCCTGGGGAGTTTTTTGGTTGCATCCTGGGGAAGAAAGGAACTATCAGGGGGAAAGCGCCAAGCCATTACGACTATATAGCACTGGGAAGGGGTCAGGATAAGGATTTGGGATGGGACGGGGGGAAGGAATGGTGCCCAACCACTTGGTGGACGGTCGGGGATTGAACCCCGATCTGCATGACGCGAAACCGTCGCTCTACCGTCCTCCCCAAGTGGTTGGGTCCCCGGGAAGGTCAGTGGTTGACCCAGCGGGTTCAACAATCGTTGTTGTTTTAGATTCAGCTACTTAGAACAAAAGTTCCAAAGTAGCACGGGCTATGGTGAGCCCGTAGTGGACTTACCTGGCACAGGAGCGGGGCAAGTAGCACGGGCTATGGTGATCCCGTAGTGGACTTACCTGGCACAGGAGCGGGGCAAGTAGCACGGGCTATGGTGAGCCCGTAGTGGACTTACCTGGCACAGGAGCGGGGCAAGTAGCACGGGCTATGGTGAGCCCGTAGTGGACTTACCTGGCACAGGAGCGGGGCAAGTAGCACGGGCTATGGTGAGCCCGTAGTGGACTTACCTGGCACAGGAGCGGGGCAAGTAGCACGGGCTATGGTGAGCCCGTAGTGGACTTACCTGGCACAGGAGCGGGGCAAGTAGCACGGGCTATGGTGAGCCCGTAGTGGACTTACCTGGCACAGGAGCGGGGCAAGTAGCACGGGCTATGGTGATCCCGTAGTGGACTTACCTGGCACAGGAGCGAGGCAAGTAGCACGGGCTATGGTGATCCCGTAGTGGACTTACCTGGCACAGGAGCGGGGCAAGTAGCACGGGCTATGGTGAGCCCGTAGTGGACTTACCTGGCACAGGAGCGGGGCAAGTAGAACGGGCTATGGTGAGCCCGTAGTGGACTTACCTGGCACAGGAGCGGGGCAAGTAGAACGGGCTATGGTGAGCCCGTAGTGGACTTACCTGGCACAGGAGCGGGGCAAGTAGCACGGGCTATGGTGAGCCCGTAGTGGACTTACCTGGCACAGTCGCTAGGGGCTGTAACAGCAAAGACAGAGAGCACCGACGTTCCGTACTAGCATCTCAACTCTTGGACACGTCCTTGTATCACCCTCACATTTGAAAGACTTATTAACCATATTTCGCCTTATTAATAAAAAGAATGGGTATATTTTACTCCCCCCCCCCACTCTCCAAGAGGCTTGCTACCTAGATTCACGAAGAAGTTACGCAAGCACTTACGAACCTGTCCATCTTTTCTCAATCTTTGGCGGCTTTGTTTACAATTATTAAACAGTTAATGAGCTCCGAAGCACCAGGAGGCTGTTTATAACAATAACAACAGTTGAATGGCAAGTTTTCATGCTTGTAAACTGTTTAATAAATGTAACCAAAGCCGTCAAAGATTGAGGAAAGATGTACACGTTCGTAAGTGCTTGCGTAACTGCTTCGTGAATCTGGCCCCTGGTTCGTAAGGGCTTGCGTAACTGCTTCGTGAATCTGGCCCCAGGTTCGTAAGGGCTTGCGTAACTGCTTCGTGAATCTGGCCCCAGGTTCGTAAGGGCTTGCGTAACTGCTTCGTGAATCTGGCCCCAGGTTCGTAAGTGCTTGCGTAACTGCTTCGTGAATCAGGCCCCAGGTTCGTAAGTGCTTGCGTAACTGCTTCGTGAATCTGGCCCCTGGTTCGTAAGTGCTTGCGTAACTGCTTCGTGAATCTGGCCCCTGGTTCGTAAGTGCTTGCGTAACTGCTTCGTGAATCTGGCCCCCAGGTTCGTAAGTGCTTGCGTAACTGCTTCGTGAATCTGGCCCCTGGTTCGTAAGTGCTTGCGTAACTGCTTCGTGAATCTGGCCCCAGGTTCGTAAGGGCTTGCGTAACTGCTTCGTGAATCTGGCCCCAGGTTCGTAAGGGCTTGCGTAACTGCTTCGTGAATCTGGCCCCTGGTTCGTAAGGGCTTGCGTAACTGCTTCGTGAATCTGGCCCCAGGTTCGTAAGGGCTTGCGTAACTGCTTCGTGAATCTGGCCCCTGGTTCGTAAGGGCTTGCGTAACTGCTTCGTGAATCTGGCCCCTGGTTCGTAAGTGCTTGCGTAACTGCTTCGTGAATCTGGGCCCGTTGTGTTAGACTCGGTTGGCTTGTGTTAGACTGATATGAATCTGTTGATTCAATAAGTTGATTTGGGTTAGGTTAGGTTGATTTGGGTTAGAATAGGTTGCTTAGAAATCCCTTGTCGGACCTTATAAACGATCTGGATTCAGATTCACGAAGCAGTTACGCAAGCACTTACGAACCAGAGGCCAGATTCACGAAGCAGTTACGCAAGCACTTACGAACGTGTTCATCTTTCCTCAATCTTTGACGGCTTTGTTTACATTTATTAAACAGTTTACAAGCATGAAAACCTGCCAATCAACTGTTGTTATTGTTATAAACAGCCTCCTGGTGCTTCATTAACTGTTTAATAATTGTAAACAAAGCCGCCAAAGATTGAGAACAGATGGACAGGTTCGTAAGTGCTGGCGTAACTGCTTCGTGAATCTGGCTCATGTCTTGTCCACTTTAAAGTCTGAACCAGCCAACTGAAACTGCGGTTTTTTTTAAGACTTGTTTATTTTATCCGGCCTAAAGCCGTTTGGTCATGACGTTGTGGGAGTAATTAGTGGTCATATGTAAGGAAAGGCTGATACTAGGCCTACATACTAGGCCTACTGTATCAGAAAATGTAATCGACGTTAATGAACAGTGTAATTGTTACACACAGAGATCACACTAACGTGATGCATCAAATGATTAAGGCAGCGTCTGGGATGCTCCCGGACGCAGGTTCGAATCCTCGTCACAGCCCTTGTGGATTTGTCCTTTAGTCTAATTGTCTTTGTATTGTGTTGGTAAATGCTTGCACCGGGCATAGGCCTACGAAAATTTGTGAATGTTGCTACTAAATATGGAATATACTCAGCAAGTATACCACGAATATACTCAGCGTAATATATGCATAAAAATTCATGCAGCTTAATATATGTATATATAATATATGTTGCTACTAAATATGGAATATAATCAGCTAGTATACCACGAATATACTCAGCGTAATATATGCATAAAAATTCATGCAGCTTAATATATGTATATATGATATATGTTGCTACTAAATATGGAATATAATCAGCTAGTATACCACGAATATACTCAGCGTAATATATGCATAAAAATTCATGCAGCTTAATATATGTATATATGATATATGTTGCTACTAAATATGGAATATAATCAGCTAGTATACCACGAATATACTCTGCGTAATATATGCATAAAAATTCATGCAGCTTACTATATCATGTATATATGATATATACGCAATATTTAGTGTATAAGCTTCATGTATTACATATAAAGTATTGATGATAGAGGCTTGTATAAAAAAAGATAAACGATACATCTTGAGGTTATCTTGAGATGATTTCGGGGCTTTAGTGTCCCCGCGGCTCGGTCCTCGACCAGGCCTCTACCCCCAGGAAGCAGCCCGTGACAGCTGACTTAACTCCCAGGTACCTATTTTACTGCTAGGTAACAGAGGCATAGGGTGAAAGAAACTCTGCCCATTGTTTCTCGCCGGCGCCTGGGATCGAACCCCGGACCACAGGATCACAAGTCCAGCGTGCTGTCCGCTCGGCCGACCGGCTCCCCGGCTACACGTTTGGTTTAAATGACGAGAATCGTAACACATTGATTGTTACGCCGTAACAGTTTAGGCCGTAATTCTGTATAGGCCTAGACTGTGACGTCACGTTGTATAGGCCTACGGGTTGTAGCTTCCAATAGTATACCTGGAGCAAACCTGGGGAGGGTTTTAAGTGTTGTACTTCCCCAAGCCCGAGGCCAGGCTTGACTTGTGATAACTTGGTCCAACAGGCTGTTGCTTGGAGCGGCCCGCACCCCCCCCCATATCCACTACAGCCTGGTTGATCTGCATTTGTGTTTTTGTGCCTAGTGCATTTAATTTATTATTAATTTATTATTTTTTATTTATTATTTGTATTATATTCTTATTTACTAAAAAAGTGGCCATTTTGAGGAGTTTCTCGTGAGTGGTTCTGGAAAATATATCCTTTATTATTATTAACGTCTTTATTGACAAAATTAATTACAATTTTGCCTAATCTGAGGATTTTGATAGTCTTATTAAATTGAGGTTAATGCTGGTATTCACTGTCACGCAGGACAGAGGGTCATACACAAGACAATATGTCTAAA